TAAAGGTGCGCATCTTGCTCCGTCTCCCAGGCTTGTTGGTTGCGGGCAGCACGGTATGCTCTGTGGGCCTCTGCGCATTCCTCCGTCCACCAAGCCGCGCCTTTACCATGTTTTCCTCTCTTCTTGCCGACCGCCTCAATGGCTCGGGAGAAGAGCTCGACGATGTGACTTGCCTGCCCGTCCAGGTCTTCCGGAGTAGGTTGATCCCCCAGATTGGGCATCGCAGCTAGCCCCCCTTCGATCAGGTCTCTCAGCCGAGGCAGCGCCGAGTCGGGCACTGACAGTGGCCGTGGCTGCGGGTGGCCCTCTCCCTGTGACACTGGGCGTTTGAATAGTGGTATGACGGCCACGATGGCCTCGTGGTCAGCTCCCGGGTGTAGCTGTGGGCTGACCTGCGCGTGCGCAAAAGGGATATTAGAGAAAGCCAGGTCCAGGACATGTCCGCAATCCTGGGTTGCCACCCCAACTTCGCTGATAAGAGAGAGATTGTGGCCGTCTGCCCAGCCTGCAATGTCATCTCCCCGGTTCCCGTTCCTCGTCCCGGGCTCCCAAGAGTAGTGATGCGCGTTGAAGTCACCCGCGATCAAAGCTCGCTCCGGGGGTTTGAGTTCTAGCAGTATCCCTGTTGTGCGGCTGTGGGGGTCGCGGGGTTGTCTGTACACGTTGACGATAGTCGTCGTTTTGTCGACCACCAGCCACAGTACGTCTCTCGTGTGGACAGGCCTCTGCTGCTCCACCGTCATCCCTATCCCTTTGCGTGTGTAGGTCAATACTCTTGGTCTGGTTCCTTCGCTGTCCCAGAAGTCGACCGGGACGAAAGAGTCGAAACCCGGGTGCGTGTTCAGTTGCACGTTTCCGTCCTTCCAGCCCGTCCAGGGTTCCTGGACGAGGACCACATCTATCTGAGCCTCCCAGCAGAGCTGCAGGAAAGCCGTGTGCGCCGGGGAGATCTTTCCGACGTTGCCCTGCGCAACGCGTAGCATCCGTGGGGTCGCCGCTCTCGGCTTACGTCTCCGAGTCGAGTTCGAGGTGGGTGTAGGCATTCGCGACGTTGTAGTTTGGCTTCTGTGCTGCCCGTTGGCTCCTGCTTGGCATGGGTAGCACGGGACGGTCGATGGAGGTGTTGTCGGGGGAGTCTTCGCCTTCGCCTTCGTCCGCCTCGTCTTCATCCATGCTGCTGCTGTCAGTGCTTCCGTCACCGAGGCAAACGATCGAGCTTGCGGAGGGCGTTCTCGTGCGCGCGCGCTTGGCGCCGGGTTGCTGGTTCTGGCTGGTGGAGGTAGGGACGCCTGCCGCCTCCTGGCTACTGTCGGATCGAGTAGCCTTGTACAGAGTGTCCGATGCTTTCTGGCCGGCCTTCCGGATCCGAGCCCGCTCCTTTCGACCGGGAAGGGAGACGACGCCGTTTACGACCGAGGGCCTCGCTGGGCAGTCTGTGTGGCCGGCTTGGAAGGGGCCGCAGCAGTTGGGACACTGGGGCCTGGCCATGCAAGGTCCCGTTTCGTGTGAGTCGGAAGGTCTTCCGCAGTTGCTGCAAGTCGGTCGTCGTCCGCAGAACCGGTTGGCGTGGTAGCCCTGGCAGCCGGGGTCATGTCGGATGAGCGTCCTTCGTTTTTTGATGGGCAGAGATCTGCCGCTTTGGTTGAAGAGCCTGAAGGGCGTGACCTCTGATGTGAATGATATGAGCCAAGATATTTCGTTCGTGACTGGGTTGGGCCCAAGGCGGGACGGTCGAGCAAGGACAGGCTTCTGTCCTGTCTGTGCGAAGACCTCATCTTCAACGAGTGTGGCTGGGTCCAGGACGTCCCCGCCAATGCTGTGTAGTTTTGTTGGGCATCGCGGCACAACGTATGTGTGCCACTTGATAGGCGTCTCGACTTGGTGGGCGCCGAGGCATTCCGCCAGCTTTGCCTTACTTGTAAGTAGTCTTTCCTGTATTTGCTTGTTTCGCGGCTTCAGAGAGTAACCTGTGCTGATATGGTAGACGTGGGGAAGGTCCGCTAGCCCCAGGCCAACGGCCTTACAGACGATCTGTCGTACGGCGAACGGTGCGATCTTCCGAGCGGCCGCTAAGCTTTCTTCCGGGACGCGGGCAAAGATGCGGAGGTCCTCCTTCGGCTGCGCCTGCGGCTGATCCTCGGCGGGGAGTGTGGCCTTCGGGCGGGCAGAGCTCTGGCAGCTCTGGCCGCTCCGGGTCGCCGCAGTGGTGTTGCCCGCCATCGGTGCGACGACAGCCGCCCAACTCCGGGCCGCTATTGGGCTTGTCTCGTGATTGATCAGTCTCTTGAGGGTTTGAATGACATAGGCAGTGGCTTCTTTCGCGATCTGCTTTCTAGAACCGTCAAAGCTGGCGACAACGCTGTCGACGGACCGTGCAATGGTCAGAAAGACGTCTTTCCGTGCCTCGTACTGTCTAGCTTCTTCTGCAAGGGCTGTCAAGACGGACCCTGTGGCAGATCCGCTCGGAGCAGATGCGGTAGAGGCTGCGGGCCCCTCGGCCGAGGTAGGGGCGTCGGTGGTGGCATCAAGCTGGCTTCCCGTTAGGCTGGGCCGGGTCGGCTGTGCCTCGGCGTCGCGGCGTCGCTTAGCTCTTGAGGTGGGGTTCGGCTCCGGAGGTGTCCCGGAGCCTGGTTCGGGGTCGGCTTGGTCGGCCGACATCAGTCCGGTGCCCGACGGCGGCTGTGAGGCCATCGCGGATGCGGGCTCCGGCAAGGGGAGGTGAAGAGTTTTCGGCTGTTAGTAATTTGGTGGTAGGCTCACTCATTCACTAACAGCAGATGCCAAGAAAAATTAGGCGAGAGGGAAGTTGTGTTCTTTAGTCCTGACGGCGACTTGAGCTGATCGCTTTCACAGAATCTCGTGCTCCCAAAGGCAGGACCCGCAAACTGGCTTTCGTTCCTCGGTGTAGGATTTGGCGCGGTCCTGATCGGTATGGGCTTTACCAAGAGCTGGGGTGCTATGGCAGTCTGCCGAGCTCTTTTGGGAATATTGGAAGCAGGTTTTCTACCAGGTAATACGGTCACCTTCCGTCAAATTTTGACACAAAGTCTCGCTTATGGGAAGAGAGCCTAACATTGGAAGTTTAACAGGCTGCACCTACCTTATCACTTGCTGGTATACGCGCTTTGAAGTGGGAAAAAGACTTTCCGCTTTCTGGATCCTGTCTGTCCTTGCTAGCGGGTTTTCTGCAATCTTTGCATATGTCCTGACTCTTCTCCGTGGAAAGAGTGGACTGAACGGCTGGAGCTGTAAGTTGAGAGCTTGGCGAACCTATTGAAAGCAGTAGTGTTGTGCTCATCAGATTTAACAGGGATCTTCATCATCGAAGGCGCAATTACCATGGTTGTGTGTGCTTTGGGCTGGTTCATCATCATCGACTTCCCGACACAAGCCGGCAAGTTCCTGAAGCCAGCGGAGCAAGAGTTCATCATTGCCCGTATCAACCAAGATCGTGGCGACGCTGAGGAGGATCACATTAATTTGGCCAAAATTCTGCATCACCTCAAAGACTGGAGACTGTACTTTTGGGCGTTCAATCTCATGGCTTCGACGCTTCCCGGATACGCCTACTCCTACTTTCTCCCAATCATTCTTCGCAACGGTATGGGCTTCAGCAGTACACAGGCTCAACTTCTTTCCGCGCCTCCCTATGTCCTAGCAGCGGTTGTAGCCTACATTTCCGGCTATCTTGGAGACAAGTACAAGATTCGAGGGCCCATCATTGCAGTCCATCAAGCTTTGACTGCCGTCGGAATGCTGATCACCGTGTACGGCAAAGCTAATGGTGCTCGCTACTTTGGAGCGTTCCTTGGTATGTTGGTCTGCATGAGCCGGAGGTGATTGTGTACCATGACTAACTTTACTCCTACTTGCAATAGGCATTGGGTTTCTTCAGTTTTGCGTCCCGGGCGTGCTGACCTTCCAAGCAAACAACATTACTTCGCATTCAAAACGTGCTGTCTCGAGCGCAACATGTCTCATTGGAGGCGGCCTCGGTGGCATCATCGCAAGCACAGCTTTCATGTCAAAAGAAAGTCCTCACTACACTGTAAGTTGATACAATGCCGGAATCTGTTTGGACACATTGTTTTCTGACTAGCTCTCTCGAAATCTAGACCGGCATCTGGACAACCTTCGCCATCTCTATGGTTAGCATTGCGATGATCATCATCATGGATATCTACTTGTGGCGCTGCAACAAGGCAGCAAAAGCAGGGCATCGCAGGAATGAGGGTTTGGAAGGCTGGCTGTATACACTGTGATACGTTAAACACCTGGCTTACCCTAGCTTGATATTCTCAATCGACTTCTGTCGGGTATGATGCAGCCAGGTCTCAAGCTGTAGGCAGATCTCGACTGAGTTTGCATGTTTCTCAAGTACTTTACCTGATAATATAAAGCGGTTGTGTTTCTCTTGATGTTTGCTCTTTGTTAGGGTCTTTGACCAAATGACAGGAGTTGTCAATTTTTTTTCAGGGTACATTGAGCCTTGAATATTGTAGGTGGGTTCTCTTTCATTCTTGTTAAGTCTTTAACAGCATCATGTCGGCTTCGGTTGCCTTGCGGATATTGCTTGTCTCAATGTTCAGTGTTGTACCATGCCTTGTTGTCCCAATGGTGTTAGACTTAATCAAAGTACTCAACTCGTCTTCACATCGCGTATATATTCAGTAAATCCTTCGGCCTTCTTCGTGTCCAAGTCTGAAGCTCTCAACAGCTCCCAAATATCGTTGACTAAATCCACAACAATCATACTTCCAGATCAATCGCCATAACCCAATCCACTCGCGACATTACCGCCGAAACTCCTCACTCAGGAAAATGTGTCAAGAAACCGAGATCTTGATTGTCTGTTGCACAGAGAATTGCCTATCTGAGAAGAACGGCATCCGCCTTCCGCTCCTGCGTCTCACGCCCACTCCAGAGCCTCTTTACTACCTCTGCGAAAAGGCAAAGGAGATGGGATACCGCACAAACGGCACTCTGCTTGGCCTTCCTCTCATGACGATCTATCCAGATGAGTGCCCCGATGTGGCAAGCGCTAACACATTCCAGCTATGCCTTTCCCACGCCGTCTCGCGCAAGACTTCGCAGCGCGCCGGCTTTCTCATCCAATGCAAGGAATGTTGTAACGCAGGCCATGCCCAGAACCATACCCTCAGCGACCGTCCAGGTAACTTCCCTGAGTTCCATAACCGTCCACGGACTCTTACCGCTGAGTCTTCCACTGAGTCCTCAACAGAGTCTCCCCCTAAGGAGAAATATTTTACCAGTGACTGGACCTGTTGCGCGGTTGGCGAGTGCAGTGACGATGAGCTGTGTGAGTACCGCGTGGCTGCTATCCTGTGCGGGATGTCGACGCAGTCCCAAGAGGCCGAGAGGGAAATTATTGACACATGCAACCAAGAGACAGATGCGGGATACGACGGCGACGTCAGCGATAACTTCAACTAGCGGGATGTGTTAGGCATGCGTTTGGTGAGACACGATACCTCGGGACTCGGCGGCTGTTTGGTGTGGCATAACGTTTTTCCTGGAAAGTAGAATTTGAAGAATGGATGGTTTTCTGTTTAGAATAGATGCTTCGTTGTGTATACACTCTCTATTTGCTCTCTTGCCACAACGCCTTGTCTTTGTGTGCTTCAAAGAGGTAAGATTGTTGCGACTAGCTCACCGACCGATGCAACTAGATCTCAAGAATGACTGCACTGGCAGAGCCTGGTTGTAACCGCTGACAGCCATGGACGCTCTTGCTCTTGACATCCCCCACCATATTTTGTGAAATGATGTAGGATGAAATGACGGCTATCAGAGGGACAGAGAAGAGAAAGAAAGGCAGAGATAACGTACAGTTAGTTCAACCCACTCCGCGAGGCCGATGCCAGCACGGACATGGCGCGCGGGGAGGACTTGACGTGACAGCGAACTGACGTTGTAAACAGTGGACGCGCCGAGAATGCCGATGTAGTAATGGAGAGAGTCTTAGCGACGTCAGAGCACATGGCGGTGGATGATGCCCACTTGTCATGGGGGATCAGCGGCAGCGATGGGATGGCTAAGCTTTCAAGTTGGTTGGAATTTGGAGCAACGGCGTCTAACTATGAGGTCATCCGTCTCAGTCTACGAGTGCTGTCAAGCGCGAGTCTCGCGCAGCATGTTTGTCTAAGATATTGCCATCACGCGGAGCCTCCAGCGCACTAAAACTCGGTTGCTGCTTGGAATCCACGTCTCCCTCGGCTTCGTATTCTGGACGCATGGTTGTGCCTGTTGGTGGTGTTTCCTGTGTCAAAAAATAGAAAAGAAATTTTCGTTGGTGTAAAAAATTCATCGATAAAAGAAAAAGGGGCTCTGGGGTGACTCAAACAACCGGGACCATCCTGTAGCAAAATCCTCCGCCGCATTGGCATCTCATGTCAAGAGGTTCATGCGCTGCCATCTGACAAGTTGAACGCACAGAAATGGCGTTCGTGCTGGCGCAAGGGAGCGGCCCGAAGAACTCATGCACAAAGGCAAAAGGGGCCTGGCAAGCGAGCAAACTTTTGCAATAGCCTTACCTACTGGGGGCAGCAGGCAGGCAAGTGAGACTGGAAGGGATTCCACTCCCATTTGATGTTTCCTCCACTTTCTCGTGTCCGAGGCTCCGTCGTCTTTGAACATTCCCCCCATTCTTTGCGCCCGGCTAACCCGGCCACGCCGTCGTCTCGCGCCGAAAGCCAGATGACGAGGTTTTGTAGTGCCCCCCGTGCCACCTAGGCACCTTAGAGAGCCGAGCTAGACCACCTTGGCGAACTGCCGGCAGCCCACCACGCGGCCAGTTGCAGCCATTGATACCGTAACAAAGGCCCTGCAGGGTGAGATTGACGGGCCATGTCAAAAAACCCCTCTAACGGCTTCAACACTCTTTGATCACGTTGGTTGCCTTGAGAATTCCCTCGTGACTCGCGAACATGGCCGGTGGTGTGCAGCGCAGGGTGCCAAAGAGGAGAATGCCCTTCTTCAACCGACGAGAAGACCGCCGGACCATACGGCATGGTCCCATTCCCTGTGGAGTCGAGAAACGGGGCCCTTCGGTCACTTCGCCCTCAATGCGACGGCACCAAGTAGCCCAGCCCGCTGCTTACAGTGCTTAGCGAAGATGGTGCCTGGCATTGACCCTTTAAATTTGGGTTGGATGTGGTGGATCGCGGCTAGCTGTGCCCGAGGGATGCGTTCATCGCCCTCGTCGGTCTACGGGTCAGTTGCTGACGATTGACAATTGCCTTGATCTACGTCGGACTATTTGAAGTAGCTGATACCCGCACACTACTGCCTAGTCTCTTGAGAGGACTTTCGCGATGGTGTCGTCTCGTTTACCCAGCCCTCGGCCCTCAAGATGAGGTTTTCAATCGCCAGCATCATCGCCCTAATTACCCCGCTGACGCTCGCCGCCGACTCACTTGAGTACAAGGCAACACCAGCGGGACAGGTTATCAAAGATGGTGTCAAGCTGAGAATACTTCCTGTGGGTGATTCTATCACTGTGGGATATCTGAGCAGCGATGGAAATGGCTACAGACTCAAACTTGATGAGGACCTGTCTGGTATGTGCACTCACCGCGCATGAGAAGTTCAATTAT